ACAGATCCCACTGCGGCCGGCGGACATGGAGGGGTCTTTACTGAGGGGGGAGGGGCGGGGGGCGCCCCCCACGGAGGTTTTGGGGTCGTTTTCCCCAATTTTGGTCCGGGATGGATTTGGGGGTGGGGGGGGAGGGGGGCTGGAATGGATTCCCAGGGTCTGGGATGGTTTCTTGGAGGTCTGGAATGGATTTGGGGGGGTCCGGAATGGATTCTGGGGCTCAGGAATGGATTTCAGGGGGTCCGGAATGGATTTGGGGAGTCCGGAATGGATTTGGGGAGTCCGGAATGGATTTGGGGAGTCCGGAATGGATTTGGGAGGTCTGGAACGGATTCCCGAGGTCAGGAATGGGTTCTGGGGGTCTGGAATGGATTCCTGAGGTCAGGAATGGATTCCGGGTGGTCAGGAATGGATTTTCGGGGGTCCGGAATGAATTTGGGGTGTCAGGAACGGATTCCAAAGGTCCGGAATGGATTGGAGGGGGGCTGGAATGGATTTGGGGGTCCCGGGTCCCCCCAAAACCGCGGGCACGGAAACGTCCCCGAGAGTCCTTCCCCCTCCTGCCCCTCCGGCCCGGGGGGGCTCGGCCCCGGTTCCGGGGGGTCCCGGTCCCGGTTCTGGAGGCTCCTGGTTCTGGTCCTGGACGTTTCCCGGTCCTGGTTCCAGTCCCGGTCTGCTTCCAGAGGAATCCAGTTCCAGTTATTTCCCAGTCCTGATTCCAGTTCCGGAGTTTTCCTGGTCCCAGTCCAGGTCCGAGTTCCAGTTCCGGAGTTTTCTTGGTCCCAGTTCTGGATCCAGAGTTTCCCTGGTCCCGGTCCCATCCAGTCCCAGTCCCGGTTCCAGTTCTGGTTCTGGTTGTGTCCCGGTCCCGGTTCCAGTTCCAGTTCCAGAGTTTCCCAGTCCAGGTCCCAGTTCTGGTTCCGGATTTTCCCTGGTCCTGGACCCGGTTCCAGCTCCAGTTCGGATTTTCCCTGATCCTGGTTCCAATCCTGGTTCCGGTTCCAATCCCGGTCCCAGTTCCAGTCCTGGTTCTGGTTCTTTCCCAGTCCCGGTCCCGGTTCCAGTCCCGGTTCTGGTTCTTTCCCAGTCCCGGTTCCGGTTCCAGTTCCGGATTTTCCCTGGTCCTGATCCCAATCCCGGTCCCGGTTCCAGTCCTGGTTCTGGTTCTTTCCCAGTCCCGGTCCCGGTTCCAGTCCTGGTTCTGGCTCTTTCCCAGTCCCGGTCCCGGTTCCAGTTCCGGATTTTCCCCGGTCCCGCTCCCTTTCAGCCCAGGTGCAGCCGCTGGTGCCGGAGGAGGGCGGAGCTTCCCCCGAAGCCCCGCCCACAATCCCCGCAGGTGAGGGGCGTGTCACCGTCAGGTGTGTCACGGGTGAGGGGCGTGGCACAGGTGAGGGGCGTGGCACAGGTCACGGGCATGGCACCGATCCCAGGTGTGTCACGGGTGAGGGGCGTGGCACCAGTGGGCGTGTCACAGGTGAGGGGCGTGTCACAGGTGAGGGGCGTGGCACAGGTGACGGGCATGGAACCGATCCCAGGTGTGTCACAGGTGAGGGCCGTGGGCGTGTCATAGGTGGGGGGCGTGGCACAGGTGAGGGGCGTGGCACAGGTGAGGGGCGTGGCACCGCTGCCAGGTGTATCACAGGTGAGGGGTGTGTCCCAGGTGAGGGCCGTGGGCGTGTCACAGGTGAGGGGCGTGGCACAGGTGGAGGGCGTGTCACAGGTGAGGGGCGTGTCACAGGTGAGGGGCGTGGCACCGCTGCCAGGTGTGTCCAGGGTGAGGGACGTGGCACAAACGTCAGCCATGGCACAGGTGAGGGGCGTGGCACAGGTGAGGGGCGTGGGCGTGGCACAGGTGAGGGGCGTGGCACCGCTGCCAGGTGTATCACAGGTGAGGGGCATGGCACAGGTGAGGGGCATGGGCGTGGCACAGGTGAGGGGCGTGGCACAGGTGAGGGGCGTGGGCGTGGCACAGGTGAGGGGCGTGTCACGGGCGAGGGGCGTGGCACCGCTGCCAGGTGTGTCCCAGGTGAGGCCCGTGGGCGTGGCACAGGTGAAGGCCGTGGGCGTGTCACAGGTGAGGGGCGTGTCACAGGCGAGGGGCGTGGCACCGCTGCCAGGTGTGTCCCAGGTGAGGGCCGTGGCACAGGTGAGGGCCGTGTCACGGGCGAGGGGCGTGGCACCGCTGCCAGGCGTGTCCCAGGTGAGGGCCGTGGCACAGGTGAGGGCTGTGGCACCGCTGCCAGGTGTGTCCCAGGTGAAGGCCGTGGGCGTGGCACAGGTGAGGGGCGTGTCACAGGTGAGGGGCGTGTCACGGGCGAGGGGCGTGGCACCGCTGCCAGGCGTGTCCCAGGTGAGGCCCGTGTCCGGGGCGCGTCCGCTCAGGTGTGCCGGGGGGGCGTGTCCCTGGCCCAGCCCCGCCCCGCAGCGGGCGCAGCCCCGCCCCGGCCCCGCCTTCCTCCTCCTCCTCCTCCTCCCGCCGCCGCCCGGCTCCTCCCCGTGGGCGTGGCGGTGCTTGAGGAAGGCGGAGCTGTAGCTGAAGCCCCGCCCACACTCCGCACAGGTGAAGCGCCGGCGGCTCAGGTGCGCGCCCCGCCCGCGGCCCCGCCCGCGCTGGCCACGCCCCCTGCCCGAGCCACGCCCCCCGGGAGGGGGGAGGGGCGGGGCGGGGGGAGGGGACGGGGAGGGGGAGGGGAGGAGGAGGAGGAGCAGGGAGTCGGGCGTGGGGGGAGGGGCGGAGACTTCGGCCTCGGGGGCGGAGTCGGCGGCGGGGGCGGAGTCGTCGTCGCTCGGGGGGGCGGAGTCTGGGGACGAGAGGAAATTTGGGGGAATTTGGGGGAATTTGGGGCGATCCCAGGGAATGGGGAATAATGAGGAAATACGGGGAAAAGACGGGGAAATTTGGGGTGGGGGAAATGGGGAAAAATGGGGGAAATAGTGGGGGAAATGGGGGAAATAATGGGGGAAAATGGGGGAAATAATGGGGGAAAATGGGGGAAATAGTGGGGGAAAAAATAATGGGGGGAAATGGGGAAATAATGGGGGGAAAGTGGGGAAAAATAATGGGGACAATAATGGGGGAAATGGGGAAAATAATGGGGAAAAATAATGGGGAAAATAATGGGGAAAAATAATGGGGAAAATAATGGGGAAAATGGGAAAAATAATGGGGGAAAATTGGGAAAATAATGGGGGAAAATGGGGGGAAAAATGGGGAAAAATGCGGAAATAATGGGGGAAAGAATGGGGAAAATAATGGGGAGAAATGGGGAAAAGAATGGGGGAAAATGGGGAAAATAAATAATGGGGAAAAATGGGGAAATAATGGGAAAAATGGGGAAAAGAATGGGGGAAAATAATGGGGAAAAGAATGGGGGAAAATGGGGGAAAAAATGGGGAAAAATGCGGAAATAATGGGGGGAATGGGGAAAATAATGGGGAAAATAATGTGGAAATGAGAAACGGGATTTGGGGAAAAAGGGGCATGAGGAGGAAAAAAATGGGGAGTAAAGACGAAAAAACAGATTTGGGAAAAAAATGGGGGGAATAGAGAATTTGCGGAAAAGGGGATAAAGGAGAAAAATGGGATGAGGAGAAAAAAGGGGAATAAAAAAGAAAAAATGTATGAGGGGAAAGAAAAAGGGGATGAAGGAAAAGAAAGGATTGGGGAAAAAAGAGGATGGGGTGAAAAAAAAGGGGAATAAAAAAAAATTAAAAACGGATGAGGGAAAAAAGGGGATAAAGGAGAAAAAAGGGATTTGGGGATAAAATTGGGGAAATAAAAATGAGGAAGCAAAGGGGGTCCGGGCTCACCTGGGGGGGCCACCCTGAGGATCTGCCACTCCTTGGAGTCGTTGGGGTCCGGCACCCCCAGCTCCTCCTCGGGCTCCGGCCGGGACACGAGCACGGGCCTGGCGACGGGGAAATCTGCCAAACAACCCAAAAATGGGAAATAAAACGGGAAATCAGCCAAAAAAACCCAAAATCAGAGGGGAAATCTGCCCAAAAATCCCCAAAATGGGAAATCAGAGGGGAAATCTGCCCAAAAATCCCCAAAATGGGAAATCAGAGGGGAAATGTGCCCAAAAAAAACCCAAAATCAGAGGGGAAATCTGCCAAACAACCCAAAAATGGGAAATAAAACGGGAAATCAGCCCAAAACCCAAAATCAGAGGGGAAATCTGCCCAAAAATCCCCAAAATGGGAAATCAGAGGGGAAATCTGCCCAAAAACCCCAAAATCAGAGGGGAAATCTGCCAAACAACCCAAAAACGGGAAATAAAACGGGAAATCAGCCAAAAAAACCCAAAATCAGAGGGGAAATCTGCCCAAAAATCCCCAAAATGGGAAATCAGAGGGGAAATGTGCCAAAAAAACCCCAAAATCAGAGGGGAAATGTGCCAAACAACCCAAAAACGGGGAGTCAGAGGAGAAATGTGCCCAAAAAAAAAAGAAAATCAGAGGGGAAATCTGCCCAAAAATCCCAACAATGGGAAATCAGAGGGGAAATCTGCCAAACAACCCAAAAATGGGGAATAAAATGGGAAATGTGCCAAAAACCCCAAAATCAGAGGGGAAATCTGCCAAAAAAACCCAAAAACAGGGAGTCAGAGGGGAAATGTGCCAAAAAAACCCAAAATCAGAGGGGAAATCTGCCAAAAAACCCAAAAACGGTGAGTCAGAGGGGAAATGTGCCAAAAAAAACCCAAAAAAGGGGAATCAGAGGGGAAATCTGCCCAAAAAAACCCAAAAATGGGAAAATCAGAGGGGAAGTCTGGGGGGGTCGCGGTTTTGGGGGGTCACGGCTTCCTGCCACAGGGGTTCCAGGTTAAAAAAAATAAAATTTATCCAAAATTTTTATTTGGTTTTGGGGAGGATTTTGGGGAGGGGGATTTTGAGGAGGTTTTTGGGGAGAGGGATTTTGGGGAGGGGGATTTTGAGGAGGTTTTTGGGGAGGATTTTGGGGAGGGGGATTTTGTGGGGTTTTGGGGTGGGGATTTTGGAGGAGGTATTTGGGGAGGAGGATTTTGGGGATGAGGAATTTGGGGAGGAATTTAGGGA